AAATACAGGTCCTCCATTGACTAATATTTGTAAAGAGCAATTTAGAATGAACTCTACATCTCTCTGGGTGATAAAATGATGGCCTGTTTCCTGCTATCTGGCTCACTGTAAGCCCGCTTAGCATTCAGTGTCTGTACATGAACCTATAAGCCTCCGCTCTGGAGACCTACTTATGCTTGGCGTAGGTTCATACACAGCGCTGATATGCCCCTTTAACAAGGGCAAACATGGTGTACACCATCGGAATCATACGCCCCAACTAATCAACAGGCACATTTGACATGGTCATTTTACCCCAGCGGTCACGTTTGGATTCGTTCCGTCAAATCTGCATTTAGACATTCTGTCAAATGAAGCAAGGGTCGCTAAATTGTTGAACTCTCGGTGACCTGTGAGTGATGTATTCAGGTCAGAGGATTGAGAGGGATATGACAGAGCTTGTTAACCGAGACTCAACAAGCCACTGGAACATTTTTCTGTTTATTTCACTCTGTCGCTATATTTCAGATATCGGCTTGCAGATGATGCCCTGTGGTAGATTGGTGGCAGCAGTAGTATAACTTATGCTTATTAGTGTGAGTGTGTTTGTAAAACAAAAATTCTCTTTCAAAACCCAATGTGCTGCATTTTTGCCTAATATCTGCAGAAGGAGCTACCATGTAAGTGTGGGCGTTCATGCAGGATGCCTTCTTGTGTTCAAAATAGCTTAATAGTACATTTTTAAATTAATGTAAAAACTAAAATGAATTGTAAAACTGAAAGTTATTTTTTTAATTGTGTTCAGCATGGTGGGCCGCATTTGAATTCGTGACGGGCCGCGGGTTGAGAACCACTGGCTTAATGGAATTGAACAGAAGACACTTACAGTTGCTAATATAAACAATGAATATGTTAGTCTGTATGTAAATACTGTATGCTTGTCCGACTCACAAATACATGAATGGTTAGTAAAATTTTTCCCATTCTTTGTTTTTTTTCCTTTGATATAAACCAAACCAACCAACTACAAGGTGAATCACAATATTAGAAACTTTGATTTAAAGCAAAACATCTTTGAAAATCAGACAAAAATACAAAGGTACAAGACAGTGTACTTAACGGCTTTAATGAAGAAAAGAACTACAATCCCATGAAGCATTGCAAATGGCATAATCAAATGAAAAATGATAGATTAATACAAAACTGTTGTTTTAAATATGTTGATTGCATAGATATAACATATGTTAGGATTATTGAAAAATATGCATATATGTACAAATGTACAAGTAGTTTGAGAGTGTAGGGAGAATCATGCAGAATCATGGGTAATGTAGTTTTTCACCAGGAATTTTGTTGTTGAACACGATTATTTAAAAAAATAAGTTGAAATAATGTGGACTGCCGGCTTCAACAAAAGCATAAACTATCAACTAACAACCTTGTAGCTCACAGTAGGTCTGTTTTCAAAGTTATTGGTAAAAACAGTACACCAATCGAGAAAATGAATGGGATTTTTACTTTCAGAACCTGAATGTTGCGCTCTATAGCTACTGTTTGGCATTAGCACATTGCTAAGCTAACATGTTAATCTAATAGAAATAAAAAGCACCAACAACAGATATCAAACAAAAATATTGAGTGAAATATTGAGAGAACTAATGAAATGTATGTCCACAGCCACTTTTTTTCTTTTTCTTTGACTAGTTGGCTAACTGGCATTGCATATTTTGCAAAGGATATGTGCGATGCTATATTAGCATTTGGCTAAAATGAGACATCTTAGAAGTCAACATAATTTTCTGATCAACATTTTGAAACCTTTCTGTCAGAAATGCACTTATAATGCTTTAAGTTTTGTAATTGTTGGAAATTAATGACCTTACACATGAAGAAAACTATGATGCTAATGTTTACATGTGTGTTTCTCAGGCTAACTAGTAGACTGATACTTGTCTGATTTGATCATGGTTGTATTGAGAGGGCAGACGTGTTGTGTTCAGGTGACTAATACTTAGTTTTTTCAGTTTGGGTTCTAGAGTCATTTGTAAGACAAACTAAGTACACTGTTAGACGTTAAAGTGTCAAGATTACAGGAGATCTTCCTTTCGCTACCTGCCATCCATCACAACAGGTGCTATGGCCTCCCATCGGCTCTCACAGACTGTCCTGACCACCCATCATGGCAACAAAGCTCTCTAATTGGTTCTCAGTGGATTAGCCGGGGTTAATTAACTGCTGTCTTTGATGGTGGAAGGCTCTGATGAAGGTCTGTCATGCTGAATAATGGGGCTGCCTGAGAGAGAGGCTGAGAGTGTGGCCAGGGTTTAGCCTTCTCTTTTCTCTCCTTCATTCCTGTGTTTCAGCATCTCAGCTATAAAGGATTAATGACACCATTACCATGATTTATTTCTTTGTGGATTTGTGTAGAATCATCAATCTGTTACGGCATTTTATGCTTTTTTCCTTCCATCTAGGCTGATGGTAAATATTGTGTTTTTGTCTTTTTTTCTCTCTCTTTGTGTCTACAGGCAAGCCCGTGATGATTATTACAGAGTACATGGAGAATGGATCGTTGGATACTTTCCTGAAGGTGAGGAAGGCAAAACGCCCATGGCACAAGTCCACACCGATGTTCGCATGCCATTTAAGATGCTGCCTTACATTTAATTACCTACAGCCAATAAACGAGCATCGCTCAAGGGTATAAGCCACAGATACCTCTCTGAAAGTCTATTACTGGAGGGAAATTAAGCATGGAATGGATGCCTGGTGGAAGCTGTGCGATTCACTTGCTCACTGTCCATTAGGGTTTTCGCATCCTGTCTGTTGTACAGCAAAAGTGCCAAGGTTATAATAGTCTGACTTTTGCACATTTGCAATACTGAAAGTTTTTGCTTTCATGAAATATTCCTTTTTCGCCTTTGTTTTAGTAATCAGAAATAACACTTAAGCGTGTATTTGAGTGAACGTGTTGCAAATGTGTCTCATATAGAGACAGGAAGTGAGTAAATGAATTTGGTAGATTTATAATAAGGGTGCGCTCGCTCCACCAAGCTGCCATAACGTCTCCCGCAATCCTCTATAATTTATTACCGCCTTTGTCACCCAGCGGATCGGGCCACGAAGTTTTATTACATGCAGCACAGATACGTTTTCCTTTAAGTCAGGACTCTTTTTAATTGCCTACACTTTGAGAAAATGAAAATGAAATCTAACACCCCCCACCCCTAAAAAAGGGCCTGTCTGAGACTTTCGATCTTTCTGCAGCGTACATAATGAATCCCATAAATACCCCCTTAGCCCACATAAAAAGCTAATATAATTATGGGGTCAGTTTTATGGCTAATAGATCATAGTTCGGCCACCCAGCTACATGTGTTTAATTAGAGGACAGATCAGTTAAGCATCACTTACTAGTACAAAAACAAATGATTTCTCTCTGTCTCTATTTCTGTGTCTCTCTGCTCTTTCTGTAAGTAGTGTGGCTTCTGACACTAGATTGATAACAACCAGTTGATCAGACCAGACGATCAATCAGCAGCCACATTTCACAAAACACAGCGTAATAAACTTACCCAAATTATGATACATGAAATACTATACGAGCGCATGTTTCAGATTGATATTGCTCGGAGGGACAAAAGTGGGGTTTTAACAAGATTAGTGTACTGCCCACATATGGAGATTAAGACGTTGGGCTAATTGCTCATTGCGAAGATTGTTTTTGAGGCAAAATGGATGTCCAGGCTCTTTTGATTAGTTAACAGAAGCACCAAATCCAGATTTTTACATTAATAAAGGCCTGTAAACATTATAGCAATTATGGCAGAAAGAGCTGTAAAACCAGAGGTCAGAGTCTTTTGCATAACGAATCAGAACTCAGTGCAAAACCATTAGAACTGTGAAAATGGAGTGTTTGAAAAAACGCATGAAGTCTGAATAATGTAATGTAAAAATTTTAACAGAAAAAAGCCTTCAAATATTACCTATTACCTATAAGTGTCACCTACCAACAATATATATATATATATATATATATATATATATATGCGTGTACTGCGTTAGGCTAATCGAGATTTGTCATTTGCACTTATATATTGTTGCTCTTTTGTTAGTTTTGACTGCTTTTATTGTCCTCATTTGTAAGTCGCTT